AAATAATTATATATTGCCATTTTGGAGTACAAAGTAGAATTTCAGGTGTATCAAATTCTTGTAATGTAATTTTTAATTTTTGTTGAATTATAAATTTAATATATGAACTTGTAGATTTGTGTAAACTGTTTAATAAGTTTCTAAATTTTAAAAAATTGTCTAATTTATTTTTGTGTTTTTAATTTTGTGTCAATTTCTTCTAATAGATTTCCGTAATTTCAGTTTTTTGTTCATTTTAGTCCCTGTATTTTAGAAATATTCATTTTGGTCCTTGTGCTTTTAATTTTGGTTCAGTTTAGTTCCTATATTTTGAAAATGTTCATTTCAGTACTTTACTTTTAAAAAGTGATCATTTTAGTTCCTCCTTGTGAGATTAAAAATAAAATCAAGGGACAAAAATAGTCATTTTTTTAAAGAGTACATAGACCAAAATTCATTTTAAAAGTAACGAGAACCAAAATGAACAAAAGTTGAGTTAAGAGTGCAAGAACTAAACTAGTATTTTATCCAACCTTCTTTAATGTTTATCCTACCTTTTTTTAACTTTCATAAAATTGAAAGTTGAAAGTTGATTTTATTAAACGCAATATTCAATTTAATGGTTAATAAATTTATTGATTTAAAAAATATTAAATAAATAAATAATATCACAGAAAATTAAAAGTTGATAGAGTTGTTTTTTTTGAATAAAACAAGTTGGGGAGGGGATTCAACTCACAACCACTTGGTTGGTTGGAAGTATATGCCAATTACCGCTGAACTATGCTCGCTTTGRCAGTTGATAGAGCTGTTAAGTGCATAAATTAGACACAGAAAACTGAAAGTAAAAAAAAATAAAAAAAAAAATCACACGTAAACTATGTCATAAAGATATATATATATATATGTATATGCACCGGAACCGCTTTTTGATCGAATCTGAAATAACGGTCTCTCACTCACTGAATCGCAAATCCGAAATGTCACTCACTTTGAAATCTCCGCCGTCTGCGACTCTTTTCTCGTCGCCATCGCCGTCGCCGTCGCCGTCGTCTTCTTCCTCTCTTCTTCAGGTACCACCTCCGACTTTGGCTACTCGTTATTTTCAACATCTACACCGTGAACTGTGTGGGGGAGTGTTATCTGGATGCTTCAATTTTTGTTCATCAGAAAAGGTTGGGATTCTCAACTGGATTCGCACCTTCCACTCGAATTTGCCACTCTCCTAGGGGATCTCTTCCTCTAATTTGTGCTTCCTCCGGCTTCTCGTCTTCCCTCGACACTGGTTCGATTCTCTCCTTTTTTTTTTGGGTAATTTGAGCTCGTCAACGAACTGGTTTCAGTTTTAGCTCTTTACGTGCTTGTTTTCAGGTTTGACTACTGAGCTGGACGCTGTTTCTAGCTTCAGTGAGATCGTTCCGGACACTGTTGTTTTTGACGATTTCGAGAAGTATATGGACTTTCTAATTTCGTTCTTATCCATTTCGAATTTTAGTCCACTCTAGCATTTGCTTTCCTTTCATCTCAATTTCCGGCTCTGCTGGGTTGCTTAGTAATTGCTTCAATCTTATCATTTAATTTGTTGCCAATTCAGTTCACCACCATTATTAATCTTCCCTCAAAAGGAAATTTGTCATTTTATGCTGCTTGGTTGGAGTATGTAGACTATATTTCTCTTTGGAACTGCAGGTTTCCTCCAACTGCTGCTACTGTCAGCTCTTCTCTCCTTCTGGGCATTTGTGGCCTACCTGACACCATATTTAGAGTAGGAATTTTGTTATTTTGTTTTTGGTCTTCGATAATGATTTCAAGATTAAAAGAAAATCCTGGCGCTTTGGTCTATTTATTATATTGTATAAATTTTGTTGCATTTCAATTTGGAATTCTGTGACATTCTACAGAATGCGGTTGATATGGCATTAGCGGATTCTGAATGCTTTGGGATGGAGAACTCTGAATTGAAATTTTCCTGCATTTTCAACAAGGTTGCTTGTTTCCTTTTACCTTGTGCCTTGTCTGTTGTAGATCATTTACTAATTTGTGGAGGTAAATAATTGGTAAGTTGGGTCTCAATTTTCAGGCTCTAGTAAATGTTGGTGGTGATTTGGTAAAACTAGTTCCTGGACGCGTTTCAACTGAAGTGGATGCACGTGTTGCATATGACACACATGGCATTATCCGAAAGGTTTAGCCTTGTTTAAGTCTTATCCTTATGAAGCATTAGATAACTTCAAATATATCAGTTGTGGCCTTCTTTTGCTAGTTCTTCTGGTCCTTTTGCAAGTGTAACTATCTTTTTTTTTTCTTTTGGGGATACCTTCATTATTTTTTTGAATCTTTTGTATTTTTTCTATATCAGTAAAAATTTCCTTTGGATAATCAAAATAATTCAACATCAATTTTACAATTCTGGCTAGACATTCTTCAACTCTTCAGAATGCATGTTACCCATTTTGGCAGAAATGGTGTATATGCTTCGCTGTCTAGTCTATAGGGGATGTATGGATTTAGATGATATGCGGATGTTGGATGTTTGTCCTCTTTTACGTAGAAATCTTATAATTTTTTGTTTGTGGATCAAAGGTGCATGACCTGTTGAAATTGTTCAATGAAATCAATGTTCCTCCTGAACGGTTGCTGTTCAAAATTCCATCTACTTGGCAGGTGAATTCTGTCTTTTAAGCAGAACAGCCTGTATTATTGATTATGAGAATTCTATTTTATAGACTTGAGGCAAAGTTACTGATCTGCAAACCAACGTTACAATATTATAGGGAATTGAGGCTTCAAGGTTGTTGGAATCGGAGGGAATACAGACACATTTGACTTTTGTATACAGGTATGCTAATCTTGTTAAAAAGGGACTTATTGTGCTTTATTTGGACATATTTAAAGCCTATGAGCATCTTGATGAGATATACCTGTGATCTGATCATCTGATCATCTGAAAGCTTGGATTGTCTTTGTTGAACCTGTTTTGGTTGACCAAAAATATGCTCAACTGATTTTTATTTCAGGAGTAATGATTGTGGGTATCAAGTGATGTTAGTTCCATCTGTAGTTTTTCTTTGTTCTTAATAGTTGCCAGTATAGCTTACCTCTGGTCTTATTTGTTTCCTTTCTAACTGCCTGTAGAATGTTTAGCGTTTGGTCATTGGATAGTTAATCAGGAAGACAGGAACATAGTGTTTCTCATTAATCATCTTGATTAGTCAATCTTCTTATGTATGATGCATATTATCTGCGTACCTATCTCTTTGTCTACCTGCTATGTATACTTCCTTGCCTGTGCTAACTACCCTTTCTTGTGCTAACTGTACTGTCAACCACCTGCCCCTTGCTTACTAACTAATCCCTTCCTCAAGCTCAACAATGGCAATTGTCTATTGTTGGTATTCTCATTCATTTTGGGCCAAAAGATTGTATTATGTAAAATAAAGCAAGTATTTCTGTGATACTCTTTGTATCTATCTAATAATTGATTATCCCTTATTGAGATTGCATCTTGGTTCCTTGAAATCATTTATTGCCAAACTAATGTTGTGCAATAAGATTTCTAGCGTATGATAGAATCAGTTAAAATGAGTTGTCCATTGCATTGGTTTGCCAATGCCCATCACTCCACGGCGAACAGATGTAAAACAAATTCCTTATTGCATATATTTTTAACACATATTTTATCGATGGTCTCTCCATGTTTGTATAGCTTTGCCCAAGCAGCAGCTGCAGCCCAAGCTGGTGCTTCTGTCATTCAGATTTTTGTTGGTCGCCTACGTGTAATTTCCATACCGCTTTCTGATACAAATCAGATGCATTTAATCTATCTTTCTGATTTCATGATATTACTCGGAAGAATTTTATTTGATCTTGCTAATACACACAACTACACTTCAGGATTGGGCTCGCAATCACTCTGGTGACCCTGAAATAGAAGCTGCTATTAAAAGAGGAGAGGATCCTGGGTTAGCTCTGGTTAGTTGACTTTGGATATTGATGTTCAGCTGAAAGTTTGTCCATTTTGTCCAATTATATTCTCTACTACTTCAAGCATCATTTCATTCTAGAATGTCAAACAGACAAATTACTGAGTACAATATATCTACTATTGGACTTATCATAGTTTGTTACACTAAAGTGATAATTTGATGTTCTCCATCCCAATGCTATGTTGATATTTCCAAATTAGTTCAACCTTTTTTTTTACTGTATTCAAGAATCAACTGATCTCAGGATCGTATAAACAAAGAGCTGCACAAAGAATGCTAGTATCTAATGGCAATTCATTGTTGCAGGTGACAAAGGCTTATAACTACATTCACAAATATGGATACAAATCAAAGTTGATGGCGGCAGCTGTTAGGAATAAGCAAGACCTGTTCAGTCTTCTGGGGTAAATTATATGGCATTGTCTATCTTCGACTGGAAAATTCATGAAGCATTATACTTCTCTAAATACTTTTTACGGATGATATAACCGTTTTTTTCCCTTCTCCTTCAGCGTTGATTACATCATTGCTCCATTGAAGGTATTGCAGTCCCTTAAAGAATCAGTTACCACTCCCGACGACAAGTACTCTTTTATTAGGAAGCTTTCCCCGCAGTCTGCAGCTAATTACGTTTTTACTGAGGAAGAGGTCCGCTCTCTTTCCTTCATAAACTTATTCTATATCTTTCTTTTTCTTTTTCTTTTTTTAATCACGAGAGTCGGAGTTTTGTTTCCCTATACTTAGGGGCACCCACGGCCGCCCCAAAGCCTAGATCCAGGTAACATCAAGGGTTTTTGATGTTAAGTTCACCGAAAGATTCGTACATGAGATGTCTAAGCCGATATGATCAAGAGTCTCAAGCCCTTGTCAACCGGGTTGCCCCTTGGAGGCCTTCATAAACTTATTCTATTATACTAACGAAATTGCTATGTTCAACTTGAGTTAATTTTGTTGGGAGTTTCGCCAGTTAGATTAACAGACAATTTAGAAAATGCCATGTTCTGTGGAAGAGATAGAATGTGTTTGAGAAATCTATATCATAATGATTGTAGGGACTGGAAAACCAGGGTTATATAAGTGAGGACTAATCTCTCCATTAATATGAGACATTTTGGATAAAACTAAAGTTCAAAGTGGATAATATTATACCATTGTAGAAATGTTGAGAAGTCGATTGTCCTAACAATGATATGATTTGAAGTTATCAGTAGGACGTATAGAACTTGCACTTGCTAATTTTCATGTTTGCAAATTCATTCTTAGGATTATTAATCCAAGTGGTATAATAATTGGGAAACCAATATTGTCAGGTGAAAAAGTGGGACCAATTAAGCCTAGCATCAGGAATGGGGCCTGCATCTTTGCAGCTGCTGGCTACTGGACTGGAAGGTTATGCTGATCAATCAAAGCGAGTTGAGGAGCTTTTTGGGAAGATTTGGCCTCCTCCAAACGTCTGAAGCCTGGCTTTGATATTTGGAGAATGTTGCTGTTCCATGAATAAGAGGTGAATGGCTTTGCTTGCTTGCTAGATTCCTCTTGTCATTCTGTTCTGCAACTCCTGCTTCTCCAGTATCGCTTAATGATGAATAAGCATCTGTTTCAGAATTCTGTTCTGAACTGAAGAATATTCAAAGTGACTGGAAATGCCTTTTAAAAAATGCAGTTCTATGACAGATTATGAGCCTATTTGGGAATAATTTTACAATAAGTGATCTTAGCAAAAGAGGTTTTATGATAATTGATTTTGTGAAACTACTGTTTATATAACTAGTTTTTTTAACTTTTAAAAGGTTAAATTGGGTGAAATTTTACTCAATTTAATATTTTTAAAAATTAAATATGAGCACAAAAAAAAAATCAAAGAACTTGCTTTTATAAAATTTTGAAAATAAAAAACGAGAGACAGGATTAATTACCAAAATCTTATGTTTCTCAANACATAATACTTTAGTTGGTTGAATACTTTAGGAGAAAGTATATGTTTTAGTTCTTTGTGTGTGTTTTTAATTTAGTTTGTGTTTTTTTTAATTTAGTTTTCACTGGTTAAAAATTTTCAATTTAATTTCTTAGGTTTTACATTTTTTAATATAATTTCTTGTAAGTTAAATTTGGCTAATGATAAATTTACCCGAAAGATGAAAATTTGGAGGAGAAAAAAATTATAATTTAAGAGGTGAAAGTCTCTAATTCATCCTCCAAAATTTTAAGAAATTAGTATAAATTAAATTTTTTCTTCTCTTTAGATAATGTTTTTTCATATATAGCTTTTCATCAACTCACTAAGTATTATAATATTTTTATTAAGTATTGTGTCATATAAGTTTATATTTAGTCATGGATCGTGATAGACTAACTTGAAAATCTTTATAATAGAAGAGAACTAAATTGAAAATTTTAAAAAATATAAATAAGTTGAAAAAACACTCGAACGATAAGATTATAACATATATTATAGCATTTTTTTCACATGTTATAATCTCCATGAATGTCATTTTCTTTTTGAGTTAAATAACACGTGGGGATATGGTATAGTACGATAATTATAAGAGTGAGATTTGAGCTATCTACTCATGGAGAAGTTCATGTCTTAATTGTACCTTTTAAACTTTGATTCATATAAAATGACTTCCTACTAAAAAATAATAAATAAATAAATAATCCATATAAATGACCAATTAGTTTAATAAAATAGGTTGAACAATACATATTTGGATAAAATAGGTTGAACAATACATATTTGGATAGCTATGCATCTATCTCCTACTTCTGATTTCGAATCTCCACCTCATATGTTTTACTAATTGAAATAACTTTATTTTAAAATGTTTGGGTATAATAATTTTTATAATTTAAATTAATTATAATATATTATTTTACTTGACTTTTTTTAGGTTCATTAGTAGAAAAATAAAATAATTTTTTTATCTCATATATAATATGAATTTAGTATAATTGTATATATATTTTTTAATTTTGTATTTATATAATTACTACTTTTAAATGCAAATATGGAAACGACTATGAGAATCAAAAATATCAATGACGATTATGAAGCGAAAAGATGGATTATCAAATGAAAATTTTCCTTTTAAAATGTTGTCAATTGCAAATAAATAATGAAAATTTACCACACCACTTTGCATCACCTATGAAAATTCCGATTTTTTTTTTTAAATATGGAAATTGCATGATAATTTTATTATTATTATTCCTTTAATTCTATAAAAAGTAAGGGTATATTTTGCCAATTTCACAATTCAATAATTTTCTAGGTTCATTATTTATTATTATTATTATTTTTGTAAATACAATCACATTTCAATGTTTTTATTAAAATATAAAATTCAATGACAATTTTGTAACTTAAAATGTTTACAAAACCCTAATAACCCTACTTTTTCTCTCAAATTTCATATTTTGTGACTACATARCAAAATACATATCTATCCCTAAAATTTTAGTCTTCTTCAATTGTTGTCACACAACATTGTTGCTTGTTGTTGTCGCGACTTATGCTCATCGTCATTGTCTGATGTTCATCATCTCCTTTTGTTGGCACATCATCTTTGTTCTTGTTTTTCTCTATGTTTAATCTGTTTTACTAACTTCCTTAAACATAGAGTGCTCATTCATCAATTTCATTATTTTGTAATTAAAGCAATATTTACAAAATCCTAATGAGCCCTATTTTTCTCTCAAATCTAATATTTAATTTCATTTTTCTTTTTTCGGACTACATAACCAAATGTCATCTCTCCCCCTCAATTTTTAGTTTCTTCAATTGTTTTCATTGTTGCTATCATCTTATTGTCGTTGTTGACACCACATTGTTGTTTGTTATTGCCGCCGTTTATGCTTGTCGATGCCGCTGTCGCACTGATGTTCATCATCTTCTTTTGTTGCCATCATCTTTGTTGTCTTATTTAGAATTAGCCCTTCTCTTCTCTGAAATTTTCTGAAATTTTCTACTGCAACTTCTTTCACCCAAGATGTTTTGATTTCGAAAATTTGATTCTAATATGTTATATTTATATATTTCATGTGGAATTTTAATAGTTATCAGTTTCACTGTAATAATAATGACAATAATAAGTAAATTTATAACCATTTATTTATTTGAATAAACTCCATAATTTTGTCTACGTTATATTTTATATAATTACATAAATTTGTAACTGCTTGTTAATGATGAGCAATATAATGTTGAAACTTGAAATGTTGCACACTAAGGTAATTAGTATTTCAGTTGCAAATAGGTTACCTTTTTTCTTTTATTTGCTAAAATAATTCAGTAGAATACAACTTTTATAATTTTGTTTAAATTTTATAAATAGTTGAATAAAATTCAAACATCAAGAATTAAACGTAATTGAATGTTCAAGTTTTCAAACGTCAAAAATTAAATTAAATTAAAAATATTTTAATTCCAATTTCAAAATGTATTTAAATGGTAAGTAATGTAATAAATTTAAATAGTGTATGGGTAAATTTGATCTTAAATGTTTTTTTTTTCAAATCATGGCATTTTAATATAGTATAGATATAGATTATTTTAATGTTTGGTTACGAAATGATTTTTTTATATAATTAAAGATGATTTTTGAATTATTAATATTTAAAGTTTACAGAAACAATTTGGCAAAATTTTTTGAGGGAGAAAAGCTAGAGAAACAAAAATCTTAGTGAGAGAAATTTTAGAGGGTGAGAGACAAATTTTAGAAAGAGAAATAGAGCTAGAAAATAGATGGAAACTAAAAAATTGCAATTATAAAAATTATAGAGAAAAAAAATAGAGAGGGACAAAAATTTTGGAAAAGTGAAAAAATTTCTCAAAATTTAAGGTGGTGAATAAAAAGAAATTTTTGAAAATTAAAACAATAACGATTTTATAAATGTGTTTGGTTGGTCATCTAAATTCAGAAATTCGAAATAAAATATTTAATAAAAATTAGAGCTGAATAAATGGTTACCAGCTAAATATTTAGTTCAATTTAAAATATTATTAATTAATTTATTAACATATATGTTATAAATTTTGTATAAATTACTATTTTACAATATTACAATATTATAGAATTTATAATATATTATGCTTTATGTATTTTAATTTTAACAAAAATGAAATGAATTTATATCTTATATATTTATCAAGTATTTATTTCTTTTGGTGTAATAAGTGTTTATCTTAATGATGTTTTTTTAATTTCAAAATTTAAAATCTGGATATATACTTTTTGGTGTAATGATGTGTTTTTAATTTCAAATTTAAAATTTGGATATATTAATGTGTTTTTAATTTCAAATTTAAAATATGATATACTGAGATGTACCAATATTATTTTTAAAATTTTCACCATGTGGACTATAAGATCTATTTTCATATTTACATTCACCAAATATTTATTTAAATTCATTTGTTGAAAGCAATAAATAGAATTTTAATTACCTATCAAACAAGTTCTGGATAGTATCAGGGGTCATATTATTATATTGTTTAAAGTTTTTGTATAAATCATTATTTTATAATATTATAATATTATAGAATTTATAATATATTATGTTTTACGTAAATGAAATGAATTTATATCATATATATTTTTTATTTTTAAAAAATAGATTTCTTTGATAACCCATTCATGTCTGTTTTCTATTTTTTTTAAATGTTTTTCAAAATCTCCATTTTATCCTCATGCTCGCTCGACTTTTTTTATTTGACATATTTCTATATTGCAAATTTCTTTGTCACTCAAACTGTTTCGTACCTAAATTTCTCAATTTAAAAAAGTTTTATTTCTCTCTTTAAAATTTTCATAATATTTACTATTATTTCTCTCTTAAATTCTCATTTTTCTTTTTAAAAATTTAATATTGGCTGAAACTTTTTCTTTTAAATTTTATGTTTTGTAACTTTTATTTTTTCTATCTAATGTATTTTTCTATAAATATATCTCTAACTTTTATCAAAAGTCTCTTTCAATGTTCTTCACTATAACTTTTCATTATTTTTCTTATTTATTTATGTTCTCTAACAAATATATTTCGATTTTTCTTCGGTCTAAATTTTCTTTTATCACTATAATTTTTTTCATTTTCTTTGTTTCTCTAACATATTTTTATTTTTCTCTCAACTTTATCCTCTTTCTTTAAAATTTTTTTCTTTTATCTTTTAACTTTTCTCTCACTAATTTTGTCTCTCTAAATTTAATCTCTTAAATTTCTCTTCAAAAAAATTTATTTTTATCTCTCTAAACTTTTATTTTCATGCTTAGGATGAAAAAATCCGCCGGCTCCAAGAACAACATTTTTCACTATGGCACGACATCGTCCTCAATTCCATTTTCTAAATAATAAATATATATTTTATTAACTATTTTACTAAAATAAAAATAAAACTTGTTTCAAAAAATTTTAAGTAATTATTTATAGTAGTAAATAATATTTTTATATATTTATTAATCTTTTTCTTTATTTTTTAATTCTAAAAATAATTAAAATTATTACTCTTATTTTTTACATTACATCCTATAGATTTTTCTTTCTCTGACATATCTCTTCAACTCTCTGACATTTTAGAAAACAGGAAAAAAAAGTTATCAAATATGTTTAGTTTTTGAAAAATAAAAAATAGTTATCAACGATATGTTTTTGTTTCTTACCAACAGAAAACTAAAAATAGGAAAATTAAAAATTAAAAATTAAAAAATAGAAATTGTTTTTAAATAAGCCTTTATTTTTCTCTTTTGAAACTTGGCCTCAAAATCTTGGGATTTTTTTTAATAATGTTTTATTTTAAACTTATTCCAAATATATATCACTCACCTATTCCACTTCACGCTTTCCTAATTGTATATGTGTTTTTTTCTTTTAATTCTGACTTGTCGTCTTTTGAAGACACGACATGTTTATTCAAGAGACAACCTGCCTAAATTTTTTTCAAAGAAAATACATGGTGCCAACTGGGAAAGCGTGGAGTACATAGATCGTCTATCAATTTCCTAAACATTATTCTTGGAAATAGTTTAGTGGATGATATATATTTGGAATAAGTTTAAAATAAAATATTATTAGAAAAGAAAAAAATTTCCCGAAATCGTGCCGTAGTAAATTCCCAAAAATCTTTTAAATCTAATTCACTAAAAATTTGACGAGGGTGACTTTTATTTTTACTTTTTTAAAATTTTAAAAGTAGAAAAGAAATAACTGAGTTATATATTCTTGTTTTTTATAGAGAATAATATGTTCTATATTTTTATGTTTTAGTACGGTTTTGTCAACATGAGCAACAGTGATTGGCATATTTCTAACCGAAAGTTTATGAGTTTGAATCTTTCCACTCCGAGGCCCCACTTGTTATTAAAAAAAGGAAGTACGATTTTGGTTTTTATTATTTTTATTTGGTTCATAACTAATGAAATTTTAATCGTGGTATTTACCATTTGTTACCAATTATAGTAATGAACAAATTGTCACTGACATGAGTTTAGTTCAACAGTTATTTGACATATATCTCTAACCAAAATATCACGAGTTCAAATTCTTGAGACTTCTCCAATTACAATTTTTTTACAATTTAATTATTTCGATTTTACTTCCCTACATACTCACAATTATACATATTGAAATTTTCTAAATTGTAATGCAAATATATTTTTTAATTCATAGATATATAATTTTTAATTATTATATATTATATGAATTATAATTCAATTCTATTATAGATTATATGAATTATAATTCAATTCTATGTATAATAGAATTGACATAAACAAATTTTAAATGAAAATTTATTAGAATCTATTTCTAATTATAATTTTAACAAAAAGAAAAAAAAAAAGAGAAGACTACTTTGCAACTTGAACATAGACGATTAAACAACGCAGGACTAATTAACTCCTCAAATTAACTCCCCAAATTTAACATCTTCATGTTTAACAACTCCACTCTACGGCTTGAATGACCCCTTGATTATCATTCTGCTATATAAATTAATGTCACATTCACTTTTGATATTCAATTTCAACACTAATAAAAATTGCATCGAATAATTTTGATATATATTAGGAGATAAAATTGAAAGGTTTAAAATGTCAAACATGAAATTAAAAGGAAAAAAATGTGGAACTAAACATAGTTTAACTAATTAAGATACATATTCAGAACGTCTACCACATATTGTATTAAAAATGCTTTAAAAATTAATATATTCTATTAGACAAAATGATATATTTTGCCCAAAACATTTCCTATATCTGACATTTTTAAGTTTGGGATTTAAATTTATTGATAAATATTTAATGTTTTCCAACGTGAATATAGTTTCAAATAGCCATATATGTCAACAAATGTGGGGTGGAATCTACCCTTCAATCGTGAGGAAGATAACAATTCTTATTAGGTTAGGATAGCCATCAAACATGAGTATTTATTTATAATGTTTTATTTATATAAGGGGCAACTTGGGATATGGCAAAAAAAGGTTAGGAAAATAAGCAAAATAGCAACAAGGTTTTGGTTTTTCAAATATAGCATTTTTTTTGCAAAAAAACGGAGGCCCACGTTCTAAATTACAAATATACCCTGCAGGCCGAACCAACAATAAATTATTTCTGATATACTAATGATTGACAGATATACTCCTGATATATATGTGATATATGTTTGATATACATATGGTATGAAATTGATTTACTTCTGATATAACTATGATATCTACTACTACATGTGACATAGAATTGATTGACTTCTGATATACTATTGATTTACTTATGATTGACAGATATACTCCTGATATATATGTGATATATGTTTTATATATATTTGATATGAAATTGATTTACTTCTAATATAATATGATATATACTACTATAGGTGATATAGAACTGATTAATTTTTGATATACTATTGATTTACTTATGATATAACTATAATTTGACAGATATACTCCTGATATATATGTGATATATGTTTGATATACATATGATATGAAATTGATTTACTTCTAATATAACTACGATATCTACCAATTATTTCGAACATATTACCTCTAATATATGTTTTCTGATATACTACTAATATATGAAATAGTTTTTTTCCAGATAAAAGCAATGGTACAAACACGAAAAATGAAATAAAAAACATCGTCGAAAATGTTGATGTCGTTCGTCCCAAAAGACAACATAAACCAACGCCAAA